ATACGGTAGGCGCGAAATTTATGTAAATGGGGACTGCTGCCCGCTATTATGACGTGACGAGACGCTATGAAGTAACTCACACATTCCAGCTTTTCACGCATGTCAAGTGACTGCCCTCACCCCCCTAGACAGGCTACACTCCCCCTGGCTCACGAATTCCCCCAATTCTCGTGACGCCACAGTAGCGGCAGCAGTCTCCACTTACATACATTTCGCGACTACCGTTCTCAAAATATACAGCGTGCCCATCCCACTGGTTTTGCACCGTTTTGCTTTTTGCGCATTGCTGCCCTATATTCTTCCTGAAACCTTGAAACGATTTCAAGTTGATCTGAACTCAGATCTTACACTTCGATAACCTCGGCGCTATCAACCGCGACCTAATCAATATTACTGTAGTATTACCGTAATGTCTGCATCTTTGTCATTTACGGACAAAACATCGTGCTTACGGGAATTTCGTTTATTGAACGTTCTAGCTGGTAACTGTACTCGCCCTTCCTTCCAAGTCTCATTTCTTTGCAATCATAATATTCAAAAATTATTCAAGACTCAACATTAGCTGGCTGCTTCACAAAAAACTAGAACGAGGGATATGTCGTCACTAGACCGTTTACGTCCACCAATCGTCAAACATTCTAGCTTTTCCTCGGTGAGAACTCCTTATATATCATTTTTACTTTGCGAATAGGATTCTGAATTGTTGCAGGGATTGACAAATTCCGCAGGTGGCGAGGTGACACGAACGCTGCGCCGTCTTTCCTCACTTCCAGCCGATTTCTGCTGCTCAATTTGCATGAATATTTTTAGAAAGGTGGAATTTGCTTTACATAGGGTTCAACGGAAGCAACTTTTAAATTTTTCATGGTTCAGCCTTCAATGCTTTCTTGTGGCCATTCATTTTGTGCAGAATGCATACAGCACTGGTTGAGCGAGAACATATCTTGTCCAACCTGTCGTACTGACACCCAGGTACCAATAAGAAATATTGCGCTTGAACAGGTGAGCGGCACAGTTTTTCTCTAATATGTAAATTAAAAAGACATCGCTCGTTTTTGAGGTTGTTGAAGAGTTTCGGTTGAGCCAGGAATCTCGTGTGAGGTTTTCGAAACAGACGAATGGATTTGAGCCAAGTGGTTCCAGCGTTGGTTTGATTGCTGAGCAAAATTGGGCGCTGTCGCAGTTACGGGGCCTCTTTGGTCCGCACTCAAAACCGCTCAAAGCATACACTTTTTGTTGAAAACTGGATTATCCTCTAGGCGAGGAGGGAGAGTCCAG